ACACACACAGTGTCAATATACTCATTGATATTTCTCAATAAACTCCTATAAGTTGCATGGGTATATACCTGCAGTTGAGACTTTTGGAAGAAATGTCTCTTAAAGTGAGCTCAATTAGTCAAGGAATAGTCATCAGAGGCACAGTATTTCTCAAACATTTCTCTGAGGAGCTGAGGACAGACCAGAGCAGAAATAAAATCCTTGCCCTCGGAGAGTGTTACAAGCACACTATCTTCGCCATGAGACCTGCCCAATCAAGTTTCAACTGGCGAATTGACCCTTCTCCAGAGAAGTCATTTTGAAGGAAGGTGCAACAGGTCCTTGATTCCTCTTGGAGAATCTTCCAAACACCCTGACAAGCCATCACCTTTTTTTATGTCTGTATTAGAAAATACTTGACAACCTAATGACGCTTTACTTGGACACGGAGTATGTTTTCCACAATTCACAAAGTATATTCCCATGTTTCCTGAGGGAAGGGCATTCACCAAAGCACTCCCAAATGTGCTTTAAAAGTACAGGGCCTTACAAAAAGGGTGGCACCTGTTTGCATTACGACAACCGTGATCCCCTCTATGTATTTCTCCTTTGTAACTCGTCTATGCCAACGTGGTTTTAGATTAACAGCTTCTGTCAAACAAGATCAGACTTGTATTTTTTTTTTTACAAACTGTGCATTCCCTGGACTAAAATCAGAGATGCCCAATTTATTGAACGCCTTCTGTGCCTGGCATATATAATCTGACAAATTCCACGTGGCTCTTTACAACCTCTCTCTTACAGATAAGCATGCAGCCTCAGAGAGGCTAAATGGTGCATATACCACACGTGATCCAGTGGAAAGATGGGCATTCGAACTCACTTAACATGCCATGGTCCAAGTAGACGGAATTTCTCAGCCACATTTTTGAAGCACACTAAAAGGTAAAATTTATCAAATGGTAAGGATGTCCATAGATGGTGTCTTCTTAAGATCAGTGAAGATGGTTAACTTTAGGATACTTTTCCAAAATGAACACAGATTTCAAATGGACTTTGGAATTGAAAAGAAGCAGTATAAGATTCCAATGGGCAACTCTTTCGCCTGACTACATGGTTCTAACCTACAGAGAGGCCATCATCATGAATAAAGCAACTAAAATGGTAGGACCCTTTTTCCCTCAAGAGGGAACAGGTCTCTGGGGGCGTATTGAGGGAATGGACAAAGCACAGAGCTGCTTTTGTAGAGGATGAAATGATGAGCAGAGACCAGGACGGGCTGCCTCAGAAAACCATTATGGAGTTGGTGTTGGAAGATTTGCACATGCAAACAGTAAGACACTGTGTCTACATGAAGTCTTGATTCCAAAAACCAGCAGGCCTTTATCAGATCACAATGTTTAACTAAGAAGATGTTTAACTAACCCAGAACTCATTACAACGAGGAAGGCTGACAGTGAATCCAAATTGTGAGTTTGGAGGCCTTAATATTAGGAATGGAATTTTATGCCATCTAATTAAAATGATAGTACTGCCTAGAAATCTGCATTTATTCTGTGCAGTCCAGGTCCCGATGATGTAATATTCAGCTAAAATTATCCATTGGATGTGCAAAATCTGTCATATGCAACTTTGAGACCAAAATAATTGCAACACAGTAAGAGCCTTTATTTTCCCCTGAAAATCTCATTTAAGTATTATCTCTGCTGAGATTTATGTTTTCTACGCTTTAAGGAGAAAATCTTGATTTCCAGTTCCCAGCTTGAAGCAGCTTTTCAATCTGAAATGATTCTTGCAGCCAGTCTGTCCTGTTAAGAACTCAAAGGGAGAATCTGGCAACCACTGCAAGGCCAGTCGCACATTCCCTCCTCCTCAAGTGTAGCCACTAGACCTGGTAACGTGTCTGGCCAGCCTGTATTCATGCCCAGAAAGTTCATCCAAATTAATCCCAGAACAGCCATAGCAAACAGCCCTCTTCAGAGTGCCTATTATGCTCAGGATTTTGCATAACATTACTCTGAATTCACCAAACCATTCAAATTGAGCTGAATTCTAATTTGTTGATATTACCAACCCCATCCCACAGATGAGAAAACAGAGGGCCAGAAAAATGAAAGGTGTGGCCCAATGCACACAGCTATTAATTAGAGGAGGGAGCTCATGTAAAACGGGAACTTCAAAACTTGCAAAACCCAGCAGTTTCTGGGCCCCTGGACCTCAGCAGAACCCCAGTACACAGCCACCGGCTCAGACACGTTATTTCAAGTTGAGCTCTGAAATAAGCTCAGGAGGTAAGTTTCCAGGTCTCCCGTGGCCATCACTCTTCCATCAGCGCAGGAACAAGTTGCCTAAAACTCCGAGCCAAGTCTGACTGCCAAACCAAAGGAGCTAAATCCCAAACCGGCCAACGTGTCCCTCACTGTAGCGCAGGGGAAATGAGTGATTCATTCACCAGATGAAAAATGCTGTCCTCGGGTGCTCCGTCCTCTCCAGATATGAGGAACCCACAGAAGTGGAGGTGGGTGGGAGGAAACATGGCAGCCTGCAATTTTTTAAAGACATTCACCACCACCCCTTTCTCTCTCTCCCCCTCCCCCAACCCCTTCCTCCTCTCATTCAGAAAAGCTTGCACATGTATGTGAATGTGGGGCGGGGTGGGGGGGGGTGACAATGTAAAGGAGAGTAATGCACTTAGAGGTCTCATTGGTGTAGCAGTGAAGAAATTGTATGTCAAGAAGAAGAAGAAGAAGAAGAAGAAGAAGAAGAAGAAGAAGAAGAAGAAGAAGAAGAAGAAGAAGAAGAAGAAGGAGAAGAGGAGGGAGGAGGAGGAGGAGGAGGAGGAGGAGGAGGAGGAGGAGGAGGAGGAGGAGGAGGAGGAGGAGGAGGAGGAGAAGAAAGGAAAGGAAAGGAAAAAACCTCTCCTGATTGGCAGAGGCCAGGCCAGGCTTCTCCTGTGAAGCCCAGAGCTGAACTACGCAGTAAAAAACGTCAAAGCACACTTTTTTTTTTCTTTTTCTCTTTTCTCAGTTGTGCTAAGTTGCAATTGAGCAGGAACTTGAGTCAGTCTATGAGCAGAGTGGTAAATTAACTGAGGTCATGTAAAAACAGAGCAAACAAGCAAATAAAACAGACAAATAGAAAAACAAACAAAAAACTGCATATCTTACATAAATAAGATATGCAAAAGCCTACAGAGATCTTGGGGGGGGGGGTGACACAGAAAAACCCTAGATGATTATTTTCATGGGTTGGTGAATGTATTGCCTGATCTGTGTCCCTAGAGAAAACATGTGTCCAGGAAAATAAATTAGAGAAGTGCCCAGCTGTAGGCTAGTTTAGTTAAGGAGTAATGAAAAGGATAAGAAGAGATGATGTGAGTGGAAGAACAGGCTTTTAGCCGGGTGTTTCTGGTTTCTATTATCACCTCTCGAGTATAAATCTAACTCCATGGTTCCTGAACGACTCCCCAGGGACCACCACTCACTGGACTAAATATGCCCGACACCAAGCAGGGACCCCGGAGAACACTGCCTTTTATCTCCTTCAGCATATGCCTGAGTTGTGGATGTGGATCCTCTCATTTTTAAAAATAATATTAAAGCGAGGGTTATCTGAGTTCAGCCATTAAAAAAAACACAAAAAACAAACTCAAAACGGATATACATGTTGGGGGTGGGCTAGCCTTGAGGTCCAGCCTGGCAGGAGTTCAGTTTGAGCTCTCAAGACAGATACTTTCCTTGACCCTTTTAGACAAAAATGGCAGCTGTGGGGACAGAAGTAGCAGCACCGTGTATGGCTGATTCCTACCAGTTTGGATTCCAAAATGAATTTGTGTGCTGTTCTGAGGCCTGTGGGAGTCACCTGTCCCATATGGTTTGGCCATTAACCGAAGAGTTATAGCTTCTCTATGCCTCGGTTTCCTTTTTTTATTGGCATGAGATCTCTGAGGAGTCTTCCGGCTCTAAAGTTATATGAGTCTATGATCCTGATAGAAGGCCCCAGAGAGGAATCAGGAAGGGTGAAGGGGAAGAGTTCTGCTAGAGATGAAAGAAAGGAAGGGGATGGAAAGAGGGGAGATCCTACAGGCCCCCAGGCTCTCCAGGCATGTCCCACCTCTTCTTATTTTGCTTTCTTGGCCTCTTTCCCCCCAAACAAACCTGTCACATGAGCAGCACTGCTATGCAACACACAGACTTTTTCTTTAGCTCTTTTACCTAAGTTACCACACCGGATACTCATTTCCTGCTTTTTTTCTCAAGAGCCCTGTCCCAGTGATATTGGGAAGGTTTCTGGCAAAACCCAAGCCAACTGCCCAAGCCATCTACAATATAGGTACAGCCTCTCTGTTATCCAGAGAAGTGGTGAGTTCGAAGGAGGTGGGGTTGAAGAGAAGTGGGTCCATCCCTCATCCTTAGCCCTGGCAAGAATCCAGGTACTCTGGGCCACATTTGAGCAAAAGAGGCTGGGGAAAGTGTAGCCACCTCTCTCCACCACTTCCTCTCCATTCTCACACTTCCTCCCTCCATCCACCAGGAGCCAAAAGCCATCCTTCATCTGCTGGGTTTATGATCATATTTTTTGGCGTTAATACATTCGGTTGATCTGCAGTGTCAGGTTGGATAATGACATTTAAATGAGGCCCCTTCGATTTCCAATGGCTAGACATGTGTGCATCCAACTCCGGGGCTACCATGCAACTTAAATGCATCCAGGAGTGTCAATCACACAGCACGGGCACCCCACACTGCGGTGGCTTTCTTGGGGAGACGTTTTCCCCCCTGATGAACATTTGCAAAGGCATTTGCCCGGGATGCAGACAACCTGCATCGGTGCAGCAAACCGGCTTATGCTTGAGCACAGGGTGCTGGAGCAAATGCGTGGGCCACCCTCTCTTTTATTCCTGGCTCCCTAGTAATGTCTTTAAGGACCACACTCGGAAGGCGAGGGGAGAATGAGACTAAGAACGCTAAATTAAAGGGTCTTTTTCTGCGTTAATAAATAAGAAAGTAAGGATCACTCACTGTATTTCAGACTGAATCACAGCAACATCCAGCTGGAAATCCAGGTGGCTAAGAACAAGCGAAAATGCACAATCTTGACACCAAAAAGAAAAAAGAAGAAAAAAAAAAAAAAGAAAAAAAAAGGAGGTTGATGACAAATCCAATGGCAATTATCCATCAATTTTAGTCAACACAGGCACACATCCAACTGTGCTCTGCGGGGTGCCTCTCCCCCAATCAATGCCTCATTCTGCCGCGGTCAACTTTTTCTTCTCCACAATTTCTTTGCGGATGGATTATTAATTTCCTCGAAAACACCACCATATCAGGTCTTTACTTTCCTAAAAAAAAAAAAAAAAAAAAAAAGCCCCAAACTTTTCATTCCAAAAATATATATCCTTGGCTTACTTTCTCCTGTGTAGAAAATAACGAACATACTTTTTTTTGTGTGGCTCCTCGGTTCTCCATTTCCAGTCATCCTTTTTGGGGAGGGGAGGGGGGAGCAGCGGTTTATTATTTATTTATGTCGGAGCACACCGACTCCCGCGGCTCTGACATTGGTCTATTTCATGTTTCAATGCTCCCAGTGGGCCCAGAGACACATGCGTGTGAAGATCCAGGTCTCAGGGGAGAAGGCTTCGCTCTTCCTGCTCTCCCGCACCGTCCACCGCGTTCTGTTCCCAGAGGGAGCTGCGTCCCGCATCCTTCATGTTGGCAAGGCACCCAACTGCCGCCGCCGCCGGGAAAAAAGTCTCCTTTTACATCGCCGATTCCTCTGTCCAGCTCCCCCCACCCCCACCCCCTTCAGAGAATGTGGGGATCAACTCCCCCCACTCATCACCCTCTTGGCCGGCCCCTTCTCCCAAGATCTGATTAGATTTCTCATCACAATCCAGTGCGCAATTGGATTTTTTTTTTTTTTTAATTTCAGCCACCGGGCCAGCCACCTTTCCCACTCCCTCCAAATGCCCTGTTAGATCCCGTCTCCTTCCCTCCACCGCCTCTGCAATTTCATAATCTCACGTTAAATGGAGGGCGGGGGGCGGGGGCGGAGGTAGGGGAGGAAAATTTCAGGGCTCCGTCAGCTGTCAAGAAGAAATCCATCCTCCACCCCCCCTACTTTCTTTCTCTCTTTCTGAAAGGCTCCGGGTGGCTCTGGCTGCCTCGGTCCCCGCCCCCACCCCGGCACCCGTCCGGTTCCTGCAGGTGTCGCAGAACTCGGGGAGCAGGGCCGGGATCATGGGGGAGACGCGTGACGCGCTCCCTCGCCGGTGGCCCCCGCTAACCCCGGGGTCCCCTTCTTCTCCATCGGCGGGCGGCGGATCTGGGGGGCGCCTCGGGAAAGGAGTTCAAACTGTGCTTTAATTTCACACGGGGAGGGCGAAGCGGGGGAAGGACGCGGGTTAGGCAGTCGGAAGAATCCTATGGAAAGGAAAGCGCGACGGAAAAGGAATCCCTCGTCGCTGGCTCCTCGCAGCCTCCTGGAATGAAACCGCAGCTTTCATCTCCTTCCCAGCTGCGTCGGGTGCATTCGGGAGCCACAAGTTGGTTCCTCGGGGCGCAGACCGTCCCCACGCCGGCTAGTCCTCCGCCAGGAGACACGATCCGAGGGGCGCAGCCACCCCGCGCCCCGCCTCCGGGCTCCCAGCACGGCCAAAACCCCGGTCCCCGTCCATCCACTTCGACTGGAACTCTCTTCCTTCCCCTCCTGCTCCTCTCTCTCCTCTTTTCCCCCAAATAAATAAATGCGGTGCCGCCAGCAGCTCGAGTCTAGGCTTTCCCTCGGCCAATGCCACGTCCACACGTTCAGGGTCCCAGCTCCCCCAAATCGCCTCTCGGACTGCACCCCCTTTCCTTCCCCTTTCCCTTCCCCTCTCTCTTCTGTGATCAGTAAAATACAATTACCCAATTACCTCCCATCATCTTAGCACTGATTGGTCAATTGCATTAACACTTCAAGTCGGGGAAGAGGGCATTGGCGCCTCTGAGGTGGGGCACTGCTGCCACCTAGAGGGCAGAGCCAGAACTGCTGCGTTTCGAAGCAACCCCCATGCTCCCAGGTTAGTAATTGGCAGGGAAACTCAGGGGCTGTGTGGGAGAAGTTGTCTTTTTTTTCCCCCCTAAAAGCCTGCCTATTTTCATCCTGCAAACCAGGAGCTGGAGCTACTATGGGGGAGACAATGAAACCAAATTGCCACCGGAATTCAAAACTCTCACCAAGCACACCACACAAAGCTGCTGCTCTCTGGCTGCAGGGCAGGGGCCTCTGCCCTCCCTGGCCCAGCAGGTGGGTCACAGGTAAGGGTAACCCAGTACCCACTGTCATTACCTGGGATAGGCTGGTCAGGAGGACTCTAGGGCAGTGATGGCGAACCTTTTGAGCTCGGCGTGTCAGCATATTGAAAAACCCTAGCTTAACTCTGGTGCCATGTCACATATAGAAATTTTTTGATATTTGCAACCATAGTGAAACAAAGATTTATATTTTTGATATTTATTTTATATACTTAAATGCCATTTAACAAAGAAAAATCAACCCAAAAAATGAGTTCGCGTGTCACCTCTGACACGCGTGTCATAGGTTCGCCATCACTGCTCTAGGGGCAGCTGGAAGCTGCAAGGGAGGGAGCCTGCTGTCCAGCAGGATAACTCAGCAGGAGGAAGCCCTGGAAAGGCAGGCTAGGAGCCTTCAGCCCATGCAGCCTGGCAGTAAATTGGCCTGTCCCGCTTGTACAAGACATCAGGGCAGTTTGACAACTCAATTGCAGCATCCCTGGCTCCTGGCTGTGGGCCTCTCCAACAAGTCATGGGGGTGGTGGTGGTGGGGGGGGCACATTTCAATTTCACTGGGTCTTCTTAGGTGGAGGGGCCCGCAAAATAATATTATGAATAATGTATGTATGCTGGTTTCTTTCTCTGCTATGTAATTGTCCTAAGGCCCTTTCTGTAAGCTATGATTACTCATTTTATGTCATTCAGATATGTAACCTTGAGATATGAAAAGGATAACATGGGGAATGTTAATTCAAACGATAAAATATTATGCATGTTGGGGAGGAAAGCAGATAAATATTTCTCTTTTTCAAGCTGTACAATTAATGACCTCTGTGACCAATTTCTTTTTGTTTTTGTTTTACTTGTCAGAGATCGGTATATGTACTTGGTTTAAAAGCAGTTTCAAAGAGGCTGTAGGTTACTCTATTCCAGCACAATACGTAACATTTGAGTCTTTCAGTGGCAGATCATAATGAGGAGTGGCATTCGACAAAAAGCAGAACAGTTTACTAAGGCAACATCAGAGGCATATCCAAGTTCACACCAAATGTTCTTTTTCTTCTTTCCTGTTCCCGTTATAGTACAAGCATGTTTCCTCACTTAAAGATTTAAAAAAGAAAGAGAATTACATCTACACATTCTTGGGGTATGATGCACATGCTCAGATGTATTTCAGATGTCAGCACCTGCAAGAGGAATGCTTTTCTTAACGGAGAGCTTTTGTATTATGGCCATTTCTCCATCTATTTGGAGAGCCTCAATGTAGTTACAAATTACATGAATATGTGAATTTGTTGAGGGGTAATGTCCTTGCTTCTGTTTTAAAACAAATGCTGCATTGATTGATTTAAAACACTAGTGGGCAGTTGACTATAACTTTAATTTGCCTTTTGAAGCTTTTGTGTCACATATGCTGATTACAGTTTATCAATGAATACACTATTGCCCTAACCGGTTTGGCTCAGTGGATGGAGCATTGGCCTGCGGACTGAAGGGTCCCAGGTTCGATTCCAGTCAAGGGCATGTACCTTGATTGCGGGCACATTCCCAGGAGGAGGTGTGCAGGAGGCAGCTGATCGATATTTCTCTCTCATCGATGTTTCTAACTCTCTATTTCTCTCCCTTCCTCTCTGTAAAAAATCAATAAAATATATTTAAAAAAATAAAAAAAAATAAAAATATATTTTTAAAAATGAATACACTATTAAAAAGCACATGCACTAGCTGCTCTAGCAGCTTCAGAGGCACCTACGCTCTGGTTCTGAGGTCAGCTAGAAGCCACTGGAAATGAAATGTTTCTTTCTAGGGGCTTTAACAGCAGGGGAAAGAGCAATGATTTGTTTTTCAACGTTGATGATTAGCTACCTACCAGACATCTTGTAAGCCTTTCATAATGAATTAGTCTCTCACACAGAGCAGCAGGGAAGGAGCAGTGCTATTCAGCCAAAAGGAAGAAGAAAAGGCTTCCCCTTCCAGTTTGCCTTCCCATTCAGCAGCTGCCATTTGTCTCCTCACCTCAGCTCCCCATTCACACGGTAGGACCTTGCACTAGTCATCCGGCTTTTATTTTCAGGCTCAATCCGTGATTATTGGGCATCCGTCTGGATAGGTCTTTTTGCTGACTTCTCATTAACATCACTTTATCTAAAATGCAAGACAGCCCCCCGAGAGATTTTAAAGACAGGGCAAGTGAATCTAAAGCCAAGTATTTGGTAAATGACGTCGATAAGTTTTGAATCCAGATCTACTCCATTCCAATTCTTCCAATTTTGCTGGTTTTGAGGAACAGGGGCATACATGTAAGACAGTCATGAGCAGGCAGGCTGCCTTTATCAGCTCTGAATCCCAGAGGTGAGTTTGTAACCCTGTGGGGGAATGGAATTGTCACATCTGTCACCGAATGCCCTTACTCAAAGAGAACTGCAGGAAGTAGTAAACAAGCTAACTGTCATACAAAAACACATGCAAGCTACGTTGTTGTTAAATAGCAACATAAATATATTGACTCCGTAGAAGTCAGGTACTGTCAACAACAACAGGGTAGAAATAATAATTGCCCAATCAGCAATGAATTGATCACATTGTCACACTTCCAACTAGTCCATGCAATTACCAAAAAGCAAGGAACAGGACAAATGCCATTGAGACAGGATGACACCGGAGAAGGGGGGTGCAGTGTGAACCTGGCAGGTTGGTGCTATGAACGCACAGAATTCTGTTTGCTCTCCTGTCTGATTGGTAGGCATTTGGGTGGGGAAACAGAACTATCATGTCACTTCACTGTGTGCTCTACCTGATGTCATCTTTAGCAAACTGCAGAGGACAGCATCTTGTGGTCACGAATGCAAAAATAGCAAAAAAAGAATGAATTTCGTAACTTGGCTTAAAACTAGAGAAAATAGGGATGTGTCTATTGTGTTTAGTCATTTTATTGAATAGGGCATCGGCTACTATATTCAAGCACAAGACATACCTAAGATTTGAGTCTTTATGTTACAGACTCTTTTCATTTTCAATACTGTTAACGGAGGACCAGACTATCCTGTGAGATAATCTTACCAAGCTTGCCTCTGCTGTCACACATAATGAAGGATGCGAATTAACTTCTTTAGAACAACTTTGGAAACTACTTAAATGATAAAACGCTGTATTTAGTGGAACTCACTACATGCCTTATGCTAGATAATAATTCAAGAATGCTGCATTTCAGGGATAGAAGATATCCTGATAGGAATCTATTTTATGTTCCTTGAAATATAGACAAAGATACTAAAGTCAAGTAGATTTGAAAATTTTGGTGTTTTTTAAAAAATATCTCCTCTACAGTGACTACCCCTCTACCCAGGCCCCTCCCCCCTCCCCATTATAGTCATGTATTAATGTTTTAGTCAATGGCAGATGGAAATATCTTGCTCATGTCTATGTTTCTCACTAAACTATGATTGATTTCATGAGCATATGTTTGGTTTGTGTTTTGGGGATTTTGTTGTATTTCTAATACTGGGCACATAATTGAATGAATAAATGTTTATTATGACATTAGGAAATCTGCATTTTTTGTCTCTTACTGAATATTCTTTTCACTGTGGCACACAAAATATTAGATGAGATACTGCAGTTACTAAATAGAAAAATGAATAAAAATGCCACCAAATAGCCTAGCCGGCATGGCTCAGTGGTTGAGCGTTGATCTATGAACCAGGAGGTCATGGTTCACTTCCCGGTTAGGGCACATGTCTGTGTTGCAGGCTCGATCCCCAGTATGGTGTGT